TCTGGGGGTCCCCGGTGTTCCCTCCTGGGGTGTCCCCAATGTCCCATCACCTTTGGGGGTGGCACCACCCCCCGGGATGTCCCCCCGGGGGTCCCCAACCCTCCCATCAGCCCCTGGGGGTGTCACCCCCCCCCCGGGCCCCCCCAAATCCTCCCCGGACCCCGGGGAGCGACCGCGGCCGCTGGCCCCGCCCCCGCCGGCTCGCAGCCAATGGGAAGCGCTCCCGCTGCGCGCGGCTCTGCTATTGGCCAAAACATATGTCAATTATCGCTGCACCAAGCAGCCAATCAGGAGCAGGGGTGGGGCGAAAGGGGCGTGCGCTTGAATGGAGGTGATGTCATCGCCTCTGGCCACGCCTCCCGCGCGTTCTCATTGGTGAAAAAAGGCGGGAGGGGCGCGCGCCGCGCTGTGATTGGCGGGGAGGGGGCGGGAAAGGGGCGGGGCCAGAGGAAAAGGCACGTGGAGGGGGGGACGGGGATGGGGACAGGGATGGGGACAGGGATGGGGACACGGGAATGGGACAGGGATGGGACAGGGACAGGGATGGGGACAGGGGATGGGAATGGGAATGGGAATGGGACAGGGATGGGACAGGGACAGGGATGGGGACACGGGACAGGGATGGGACAGGGATGGGGATGGGAATGGGACAGGGATGGGACAGGGATGGGGACACGGGACAGGGACACGGGACAGGAACAGGGATGGGGACAGGGACACGGGACAGGAACAGGGATGGGGACAGGGATGGGACAGGGACAGGGATGGGGACACAGGACAGGGACGGGGACATGGGACAATGATGGGGACACGGGACAGGGATGGGGATGGGAATGGGATGGGAACACAGGACAGGGACCGGGATGGGACAGGGATGGGACCGGGATAGGGACAGGGACAGGGATGAGATGGGATAGGGTTGGGACAGGGACCGGGATGGGGACAGGGACAAGGATGGAGACAAGGACAATACTGGGATGGGACAGGGATGGGGACAAGGAATGGACAGGGATGGGACAAGGATGGGGACAGGGGTAGGAGAGAGATGGGGACAGGGATAGGGACAAGGACAGGGACAGGAAAGGGACACGGGGGTGTCCCCGAAGGTGACACTGTCCCTGGTGTCCCCACACCTTCTGTCCCTTGCATCCGCCATCCGTGGGCCCCCGAGCCCACATCCCCTGTGTCCCCTGTCCCCCTGTCCTCCTGTCCCCCTGTCCCCCGTGTCCTCCCTGTCCCCTGTGTCCCATGTCCCTGTGTCCTGCTGTCCCCTGTGTCCTGCTGTCCCCTGTCCCCCGTGCCCC